AGGAAAAACCATATTTGTGTGTTTAGGATTATTGGCTGGATGGTACTTTGTGTTATTTCTGTTATTAACATAAATCAGAACCACGTCTTACATGACTTTAAATATTTGTTCAGCCAAACTGGAGATGACTCGATGATGAAAGCAGCGGCGAGTTGTGTTTTCTGCCGTCCTGCGTTTTCATGTCGTGTTTCAGGACCAACAATCTTTCACAGCCTTTCATCATCTGACGAGTTCGTCAGTGTAAATAAGCCATGTGTTGTTCGGCTGACAGCAGACGGCACGCTCTGTCATCATCATCATCGCCACGTTCTTCTTCCTTTCTTCTTCTTCTCTCTCTGAGTCTTTCTCCACAGATCGTCTGTACAGTTTGCTAATTAACGCTGTCACACCTCTTCCTGAAGTCTCTAATTAACGAACAGCAGCGAGGGGCTCATGATTAATTGCACTTCAGCGAGCAGCGAGTTTAGCAGCTGATGTTGGACATCCAGCAGATCTTCGCCTTAAATCGTGTTCCTGATATTTCCCAGCTTCACTCGACTGAAACTGAAGTCGAGGCATTAAAAAGCTTCTCAGCTGCGTATTAAAATGTTTGCGAGGGTTAAACGTGGAACTGCAGGATTTAAAACAGCTCACATGTTCATCCTTACTCAGTAACTCAGCTTCCAGCCTCTGTTGGGTCTGACCATGAAAACAAACGCGCTGAATTCCCATGTAGGAATGGCACACAAGCCACAAATAATCAAACCTGCTATGAGCGCCTGCAATTCAACTCAAATGCCAAAAAAACTTTAGATATTGTTGACTGCTCTGTTGCTGCGTGTAATAAAGTTTTATTGATTTCAAAGTTTAGTCCCTGTGGAATCAATAGTAATCAATAAATGTGGAGTAATAAGTCGTGTTTGTTCTGTTCCTTCTGTCCCCTGGAGGTCCATCTTTCCCAGCACCTCCTCCTCCTGTACCCGTGTGATTATTTTAACCTCGTCTTTTACGTCTGTGGAGGTTTTTCCCTTTAAAGTCGGTTTGTTTTACTTGTGTGTGGTCACACAGCTCAGGAGGATGGAGGTGGTGGTGGCAGGGGTGTTCAGAAACTGACATTTTTATGGTAACAGTCGCCGTCTCTTGGCAACACACTCAAAGACCCGTACGCATTGACGGAGCACAATTGTGTTTGGCACCAGGAAAGTGTTAACTGGCTAATCCCTTACGGCCGCCCAGACGCCGCCCGCTGCTAATTCACTGCTCCGCACAAACCGGCCAGTGTTTACACACCAGAGCTCGGTCACTGCGGGGGGAGGAAAAGCTCTTCACACGAGCTGCTGGCTCTCAGCGCTCAGAGGAACAGAGTCCATTAAACAGAAACCACCTGCAGGATCTATGCTGAGCTACTCCCAGGATTTAACAATAAATTACACCTTAAACTTTAACTGCAGAATCAATGCAGCCATAAGTGTCTGCACATTAATCTACTACAAAATTTACACTCAAAACAATGTGAAACTCCTGGGAGTCAATGAACATCTAAGAAAGATGATTGTAGATTTACACAAGATGTGAAGGTCTCGTGGAGTCGTTGCTAAACAGCTGCAGATATACTTCAGTAGAAGTTATTTTAATGCGTCACCACTTTGCCAAGAGTCTGGAAGAAAACCCAAACGGACCCTCATGAGCGCCCAGTGGTTAGGATGTTAATAACAGAGGAACCACCAAGGCTCTGCCATGAACTGTAAACTGCTGCAACACCAGCATCACTGTCCACAGTGAAGCCAGCTCTACATCACCATGGACACGTGCAGGGAAGAATTTGGTTTTGGCTCCAAAAATAACACCTTCAAGTTTGACTGACACCTGCAGCTGCCCACACGAAGTTCTACGATCAGACGAGACAAAGATTGAGCTGCAATGACGAGAGGTTTGTTTGGAAGAGTAAAGGTAGGAGCACCGTACCAACTGTCAGGCCTGGTGGTGGCAGCAGTTTCGCTATGCTGCACAAAGTGGATGGAACAATGTTGGAGGAGGTCTACATCCAAACTCTTCAACTTCACCTCAAAAGAAAAACAGCTAGATGGTTGAAACTTGCGCTTGGATCCCACGCACATCAAAACCGGGTTTGGAAGGCATAAATATAAATTCAAACTTGTGCATCCAATAAAGATGTTTCTGACGTAGACTGTGACTTTTCACAAACTGCTGTGGGAATCATCATAGTTTTGACTCAAACATGAAATTTTTGCAGTTTAACTATGAACAGGGCTATGAACCGTTTTTAATTACTAGACGACTAAAATAAACACAAATAAACTTGATTATGTTTACATTATTCAAGTGACATGGTTTCAGTATCCGGTTCAGGTTTAGGAAGAGGGCTTGGTTTGTGTTAAAACACTTCCTACTTCCTGTTAAGCTCTGGGTTCTTGGTTGTCATGGTGACATCTACGCTTTTTCTAGACAAAACTGACACTGCAGACTTTACTTTTGGTCTCTACTAGAGCAGCTTTGCATAAATCACAGTTCAAGTTAAATCTTGCCTTGAACTGGATCTCGGTGCCGCTTCAGCAAGAGGAGGAAGTGCCAAGTTCAGCTCACGGTCTCTTGGACGCTCTGTTAGCGCCGTTAATCGCACAGGAGCCGCATTATTGGTCAGATAATTACATAAGAAAATGCCCCAACAGTACAAATGTGTTATCATTGTCAGACTACATGCGTGAAAGCTGAAGTATCCAACTTTATTTGCCCCTTTTCTTCAGGTTCCAAGTAAATGTGAAGGATAATGAGAAGCTAAAAGCGCTTAATTAAAAGGTTAAATGCTGCAGTTGTGTCACAGTAATGACAACAAGATAAAAGTTACAAAAGCTGAAAATAATGGATCACATGATTGGAGCACTGAACTCCTGCTAAATGTGATATGGAAATGTTTGTAGTGCCGCGGCCGCTCGACATACCAGGTTAATGTTATCTGAAGGGAAGTCATCGTCCATGGTTCATGTTTTACACTCGTGTGTAACACGCATGTTTGTGGAGCGTTTCCATGTGAACGTGCTGCACTGATGGTTCACACCCTGAGAATATATTAATGTGACTCGGCACTAACGTGAAGCGGGACTCGGTCTTCTTCTGATTTACAGTCACGACATGTTGAGGATCCTCACAAGTGTGAAATATTTAGTAAATAAATTTGGTACGAAGAGATTTTTCTCCTGACATCAGTACATGCTGCATTTATATTTTATTAATATCCGAGTTGATGTATAAAGGAGTCACATTTATGTTGATTTACTGTGAATGTTTTTACGAGGTTTTCCATTTCCATCTTATTTTTTTAATGCGATAAATGAAAGACGCGCCACTTCCTGTTTCTCAGCATCTTTTATCCTGTCACACACGTGGAAATTCATCTGATGTAAAGAAAACAAAACCAAAGAAACTGACTTTGTTTTGTAGTCTAACAAAAAAAATCTTAGTTATTAACTGAAAGGATTATTTTTGAATTCGTTCTGTGTTCACTCTGTTTCACATTTTGTTTGTTTTCACATTTAGACGTTAAAACTGAGTCAAAGTTTATCGATGACGTTTTCTTACAGCGTAATATTAAATGAAACATGTCGGGTCTGCTCAACGGGACTTTTTACGTTCAGTCAAAAACCTGATTCTGATATCAGCTCACTGCACGAACATCAGTGAACTATGACAAGAACAAATCTGCAGTCACAGGTGACTGAAAAATATTCAAACCTTTATTTAAACTTATATTTATGTTGTTGTCTCACTCAACAGATTTGCCACCTGAACAGGTTAAACATAATTTCACATTTATTGTAAATGTTTTTTGTGTATATAAAAAAAGACAAAGCAAAATAAAGCTTCACTCATTTTTATTTTCTTACTTACCAAATTATAAAGAATAAAGAATTTTTAGTGTGCATTAAATATTTTTTCAAATGATTTTTTTATGATACTAAACTAAAAATGTGTTAAGATTATTCACGCCCATTAGTTCAGTGTGTATTTTTATGTTGCTGTCTTATTAAATAAATGATTTAGCATTAAAATGCAGCGCAGCATTGATGAACTGTGTGAGACGGTGCGTTGGTCCAGTTTTAATATCTGAGCACGTTAATGTGTTCCAATAGAAACAGTCTGAGGGTTCATTTAATCCTGATTTAATAACACTGAGCCTGAAATGTGAATCTCAGCTTCCCAAAATGAACTCTGATTTTATATTTGGCTGCACTGAAATGATCACCTATAAATCACTGACAGAAGTTCAGTTTCTCAGCTGCTGCTTTGTGAAAGTGACAAAGAAATGTTAAAAATAAAACGGGCGAGACAGAGAAACCGTAAAATCTCATTTTAAAACTGGTTTGTTGTCGGAGGCCTCTGGCTCCAAATCTCAGGAATACAGACGTACTCGTACTTCACGACAGGAGGCCTACACTTTGATAAAACGGTTTGAATTTAAGGTACCTTTGATCTTGGGTTTATATATAACAGAAGGGAAACAAGAAGTAGTGTCAGGCTGTTAAAATACCTGAACAGGTGAAATTTCACAGAGTGAGGAGTTCAAAGAAAATACAGCTGTTACCAGGTAAACTGCTGAGTTTATGTAACACCTGGTAAAGCAGATTTATTAAACCACATTTCAGGTTACAAGAAAAATAAATTTAAAAAGAATTCTGCAGTTAAAAGAAAGTCAGCTTTAAGAGCCACGTTTACTGAGATTAAAGGTGCGAATCTAAATTATTCTTAATTTAATTTTAATTTGATTTAACAAAGATTGTGAAATAGTCATAACTTTTTCTACTTTCATTTGTTTTTTGTGACTATTTCACAATCTGCTGTGATATTGGGCTGAAATATAATAAATATCCCACTCAAATAAAAAATGTCACTTTGTGATTTTAAGAAAGGGAGAAAACAGCAGGTTAGAGGTTAAATGTACAAACTTAGAGGACTGAATTATAACTGCACAAATCCACGAAAGCTGAAAATGTTAAAAATGCACTCGGACTGGTTTTATTTCCTGTATTTTTGCCCATGAAGGTTTCTTTAATGGATCTGGATGAGCAGACACAGCGAAGGGAATAAAAAGCCCATTAGTCATGTTCATGCTTTTCAATGCCCCCAAAATGAAAATAATCATTTAAAAAAAACATACAAACACTGGATTATTCTCTGCTTTTCAGACGGAGGAGCATGCAGCAGTACAAATACACAGACAGCGGCTCATTGTAACACCAAACCTTTAAATCAAACCAACATGGCCTCGCTACTCAATAAAAAACATCTAAAGTTGGTCTTTAAAAAGTGCTTCAGAGACATAGATCCTTGCATTCAAACCTCTCCGGTGGGTTTTTAGACTGTGACATAAATATATGCTTTTACGTTTCATCTTCTCTGCGATTGTTCATATCGATTATTACAAAATAAACTCGATTGAGAAAGGAAAAAACAGCGGGGACATATTTGGTTGTTCACACGCCTGCCGGCTTCTTTAGGCAGATTTTCCTCTTGAGTTTTACAAATGGGATCAAATTAACCTCCTTTTAGGTTTAACTTTTGTTTTGGGGGCAGAAAAGAAACGGAGAGGCTCAAGAGGGAGAAAAATCTTCTGGAGTCATTAATCTGAGGGTTTCTTTGAGTCCGAGAAGAAAAGGCTGCAAACACAAAAGATCCGGATAATTTGTCTGTGCGGGATCCACCGAGCCGTTAAACTCAGTCACGGTGAAGCGAAGGAATGTGGAGCAAATTTGTTTCTGACCTCGGTGGAAAAGAAAGCCAGTCGATCATTTTGATTAATTCTGTGGAGGTCAGAGGTCAGCCTGCGGTTTCCTAAACTCTCTGCGGTGGAAGTTTTTTTTTTTTTTTTTTTTTTTTTTAAATATAGAAAAAGCGGAGCAGCCCCCGTCAGTGCACCGCCACCGCGGACTGCAGCGCTTCTCCGGGGCCGCCCGGGCTGCTCTGGCCGGTGGCTGTCTGCGGGGAGGTGGGGCTCAGAGACTGGGGCGAGTTCGCGAGGAAAGCCGGAATGTGCGCGGGCAGCCCCGGCAGGCCGGGTACCGAGGCTGGGGAGGGTTTGATCGGCACCGGGATGGCGGGCAGCGTCTGCCCGCCGTGACAGATGGTCTTGAGTGGCATGCCGTAGGCCGAGTAGTCGCTGGCGGCCATGGAGATGGGGGCCGCAGTCTCCATCATTCCGGAGCCGTACATGTGCGGCCAGGCCGGGGTCAGCTGGTTGTGCAGCGGGTACCCGGCGGTGGAGAAGGCCGCCAGTCCGCCGGGCATCTTGTACTCTCTGGCGATGATGTTCTCGATGGCGAACGGGTGCTTGAAGCTGGACGGCTGCGAGACGGAGCTCAGGTTGTATCCGGCCGGCATCTGCGGGAGGTGCGCGGCTGCGTGCAGCGCGCTCAGCCGCAGCTTGGCCTGCTGCTGCAGGTAGTGCGCCGCATCCTGCGGCTTGCTGGCGGCCAGCGGGTCCGCGGCCTGCATGCTGCCCACCTTGAAGCGTTTCCGGCGCCGCAGGAAGCTCCCGTTCTCGAACATGTCACCGCAGCTGGGGTGCAGAGCCCAGAAGCTGCCCTTGCCGGGCTGGTCCGGCCTACGGGGGATCTTGATGAAGCAATCGTTGAAAGAGAGGTTGTGGCGCAGAGAGTTCTGCCAGCGCTGCGTGTTTTCCCGGTAGTACGGGAACCGGTCCATGATGAACTTGTAAATCTCGCTGAGTGGGAGCATCTTCTCCGGGCAGCTCTGGATGGCCATGGCCGTCAGGGAGATGTACGAGTACGGAGGCTTCTGGTCGCTGTACGTGTTCCTCCCGGGGCGCGGCATTTTGTCCTGCCGAGCCGGACCGGGATCCCGTCAGAAGAGCCTCTCTTCGCTTTGTTTTCGGAAACTTTCTCCAAACTCTTCACTGCGCCTTTACGCATGAGACGGAAACCGCCGGCTGTCCTGGACGCATGCTCCCAGTTTTTACGCACAGCTGGTAGCGAAACTTTGGGAGAAGTTGAAGCGGTGGGTGCTCCTCCTCTCCTCCGCTTGGGTGGCAGGTGCAGCGCGGTGTCCGTCCTCCTGCTGCCCGCTGGTGAGCTGCGCTAAGCGGCTGCTGCTGCCTCTTCCATGCCCCTCTCAGATCTGTCCCGTGCGCGGTGACAGGAGCAGAAAAGACCCCCGGTGAGGAGCTTCATTAATGGGCCACTTCTGCGCCATCACATGATCACAGCCAAGAGGAGGAGGAGGGAGGCGGGGGTGTAGGGGGAAGCGGGGGGCACACCGTGCTGTCATTTACACGGTGAACCGACACGAGTCTTTCATTTGAAGCTGCAGCGGAGAAAGAGCAAAAGAGAGGAGCACGACTGTCGGGAACGTGTGCGCTGAGCGGAGGTGTGTTGGCACCGTTTTACGCGCAGTGTGTGTCTGTGTGTGTGTGTGTGTGTGTGTGTGTGTGTGTGTGTGTGTGTGTGTGTGTGTGTGTGTGTGTGTCGGGGGGTTGTTTGTGGCCTCTCGCACCAATTTGCATTGACTAATAGAGCCGCTGAGAGCTGCTATGTGAGCGCTTTAATTTGTTTTATTTGTCTTTTTGTCGTTTGTCTCTGTTCACAGAACCGTTACGAAGCTTCTCTCCAAACATCCAGGTATCTTTCACAGAGTCTGAGCTGATGAAGACGAGACTTCTCTCACTGTGGGAGAGAAACTCCTTTAATAAGCTCCTGTTTTTCCACTTTCCTTGAACTACGGAATTAAAGGGAATTTCCACGAAATTTAAACAAATTATTGTTATAATTATTATCCACAGCTCTGTGTGGAAACAACAACCCTGAACTTTAAACAATGAGTTTATAATTTCTGCGATTAATTTCATACGATTAACCCTTTTTGCTTTTTTTCTCCCGTTTTTGCCCAAATGCCACATTTATCTTTTTTTTCTAAAATAATAGGCAGATATTTTTAAGGAGCCTGTAAAGCTTTGAGTCTTTTTTCCTCAGATGGATCTGAAGGTTCCGCCTTAAAGTTCTTAATCATTTTTATTTTACTCAGCAAAGCTTCATTTTTCATCTGAACTGATCTGTCAGTATAACTCTAATATAATGCAATTTAATTAACGTATTATAATCTTAATATCTGATATTTGTAGCACATACGTTTATTTTATCTAGTAATTTACAATTAAAAATCTTATTGATCGTTAAAGAGACAGAATGATTTCATCATCCTGAAAAAAGACTTGTCAGTTTTAAAATAAAGGAAATAGTCTAGCAGATATATTGCCATATATTATTATTATTATTATTATTATTATATTAACACTGAAAAATGTTTTACCAAATGTATTTATTTGCAGAACTTATTTCTGAGACTTGATATATTCTCAAGTCATTTTTGTGACTGATGATGAGTTAATTTGTTGACTGATTTTATGATCTTACAATACGATCAGTTATCAGTAAAAACTAAAGTTGTTTCTTCAAAACAAAACTAATGATCACTCTAAAAAGCTGCAGCATTAAATCTGATTTTCTTCTTCATATTTTGGTCATTAATTATTGACGTAACGGCTGCTTTCATGTCCATTGTTTTCTTTTTGTTCTTCATCGTTTCATCGTGTCAGTTAAAGTGCAGCAGAAGGAGGATTAAACTGGAGGAGCCCCGGGGTTTAACAGTCCCAGAGGAGGGGGGGGGGGGAGGGGGTGACACCAAACAGCTACTTTCACACGTCTGACCTTTGACCTGTGAGCTGATAATGTGACATGAGAGGGTTTCATACAGAATTATATTGTGTTTTTTATTGTTTCCACTTGTTTCCTGTTTAATATTTTTGATTTTGGTCATTTCATTTTCTAGTTTCAGTTTCCTGTTATCATTTATTCCAGTTACTCTTATTGTTGGTGCTCATCACTTTAGTTATTCTCTGTTTTTTATTTATATTTTATTTTATTTATTCAGTGCATTTTAGGTGTTTTCATTTTAGGTTTTTTTGTTTATTTTTTAAATTGATGAAAATTCATTTCAGTGTCATTTAATTCTTGTATCATCATTTATGATTTCATTCATTCATGTTGCATTAGGCTGTGAGTTTAATTTTTCTGGTGACTTAAATACAAATAAAATAAATTTAGTTTTCAAAAACTGATTAAAAGAATTTAAATGATAAAATCAGTTTTTTATGATGTGATTTTATTTTGGTGCTGAATGTAATAAGTTCTGTGATTTATGACTTATTGATAATATTCAGCATGTAGCTGCAGATTTTATGGTCAGTGTGATAGTTTTAGTTAAATTAGGTCACTGCTTCCTCTTAAGGTTTTATTGAAAACTCTTTGAGCGCTGTTTTTTTTTCTTATAAAATAAAAACTGTTTTAATGTATATTTAGTTTAAAATGTTTGACAAAACAATTTTTTCTTGTAAAAAAAAAAATCAGTGTTCACTTAAAAGTAATATCCAACATAATAAATATTGAATACAAATGCAATAAATACGACTCATTCTTATAAAAATTATCCATACTATATTGAATGAGCCAGTTTATATTTTTTCTGCAGCAGTGGTTTTTACATTTTTTTTATTATTATTATTTAATGTGAGCAAATGAAAAACACATTTTAAAGGTTCTCCTAACCTGCTGAAGCTGTAATCCCAATTATCATAATTAATCCTCGTTACGTAATATGCTTTATTAATTATATTTACACTGAAAACAGACAAATAATATCAGAATTACAAGTAAAGGGAAGAACAGCCTTTTCACTTTTAATGCTATTAATGAATCAATGTATTGATCACTATTGGCAGGTACAGCCGGGAGCTTTTGAAGCTGTTTTGGTCTCACCTCTGACTGAGATAAATAAAGTTGAACTGAATTAAACACCACCTCTAATATTATTATTATTATCACTTACAGGTTTGTGATGCAAACATTAATAGCACCTGCAATGACGATAACAATCATCAGCAGGTATAAATATTCAGCCGGCTGCAGTTAATTAGCAGCAGGAGGATTCTCATTAACGGCTCTGTTAACTGACTAAAGCAGAGCTCAAAGCAGCCGACAGCAGAGGAGGAAGAGGAGGAACACCTAACCCTGTTCAGGTTTCATCCCCACGGTCCACTGAAATGTTCCCCAACATGTTCCCTGACATGTTCGAGGTTTTCTGTCTCAGCTCTGAACAAAGACGGCATGCCACCAAACATTTATCAGAACAAATCTTCTAACATCTGCTTTCAAATCAGTTCATGTAAAATTGTTTTCAGTATGAAAAGGTTTGATGTTATTCAGCTATAATGCTGTACTCTCCAGGGGTGTTCCCGTGATTTCTTTTTAATGGGGGGTGGGGGCTCTTAAAAATGAGGGACTACACATTCCCCATCACTTTTACATGTGGGGGTGTGTTGTCATTTATCTGACTTTGTGGGGACCCGTTCACGTTTCAAACTTTGCGGGGACATTTGCAGAACCCGAGGAGATCTTCACTCTGTGATAGAGCATCAAAGGTCTGGTTTTAAGGTTCAGGTTCAGGCTGAGGGTTAGCGTCCCAGGAATGCATTATGTTACTGAGGCTCCCACAAAGGCAGAAAAACATACGTGTGTGTGTGTGTGTGTGTTTGAGGGGATTCAAAATGCAGAGCAGCAGTGGCGGTGGTACTTGAGCACGCTTCTCATCATCTACCAACACTTCAGCTGCACTCAGGAAATAAGCACGACCTCACACACACACACACACACACACACACACACACACACACACAGCTGTCTTTGTGAGGACCTTCGTTAACACAATGCATTCCTGGGACATTAACCCTAAAATTGGAATATGATCCTAAACTGACCCAAACCCTCGTCTGATGTCACAAACAGAGCTTTGAATCTTTGTGGTAACATCCAAACTTCTGCAAATACACGTCCATACTTCTAAAACCAGTCCTGCTCTTTCCAGGTGTCCGATAAATGTGCGCACATTGCAAACTAATACCCCCCATTTTCCAAATAATCATCTTCTTTTTGCCCAACTGTTGTTATTTTTCAAACATATATTTCAAATGGTGTCGGGAAACAAAAACCCAGAAGCTCAGAGGAAATTTCTGTTTCGGACTTTTATCGACAAACAGGAAAAAAGTAAAAATCTGTTTGTGGTTCTTCTGTCACGTTGACACAAACTCATTAACCTGAACCCGTGTTTCTCCTCTAAATGTTCCTCATCCAGGCACCAATTTGTGACGGATTAATGACGACCCTCCCACCGCCGCAGATTTGCCAGGCCCTTATTATGAAATGAATGAATGGGTGCCACCGAACGTGTCATAGCTGTTACCGCCCAGCACGTCGCCCACCGTCCCCCCACCTTCCTCCAACCCCCAGTCGGAGCTGCTGGCCTCCATTAGAGCTGCTGATTTATCAGGAGGAGGACACAATTCAAAACAATGTAAATCACTCAATTATAGTGTTTGGACACAGCGGCTTGGGCGGGGCTAAACAGACACTCCACTATCCCAATATTACTACAGACAGTCAACTCACCACAAAGAATGCGAAAATTAAAGGACTGATCAAAAATATTAAAAAAAAAAATATATATATAACTGTTAAAATCTGAAGGTCAAAGGCCATTAAGCCTGGGTTAAAGACTGAGGTTGCAGGTTCGATTCCCAGCTCTCTCATGCTCGAGTGGTTCTTTGCCTGTGGGAGGCGATCACTTCAATTAAATCGCTGATTAAGCAGATTGGAGGCTGATTAGTAAACGAGCAGCGGCCTTCAGGAGAGCTGCTGCTAATTAGTGAGGCGATTAGCGTGTTAAGAGCAGCGAATGAGGCGTCAGCGCTCGTTAAGAGCCACACTGACAGATTATTACTCCATCGGGCTGCCAAAATGCTGCCGCGTCACAGCGAGATGTCGCAGACGACGTCCAGGAAGGCTCCTTTCAATCTCGAGGCATTATCCTGGACTTTTTATTATCATCAAATTCTCGTGTTTCATCTTCAGCTCCTTCCTGCAGCGGCTGGTTTGGACCTTTTTACCCTGATGGGAAACATCCGATTAATACTGAGAAGCACCGTTAATGAGGAAATCAAGTTTGGTTTGAGTGTTCTTGAAGTGTACCTGAGCTTTAGCGAGGAGAGGCATTGTCTCTGTGCCATTTCTAACTTTTT